AGTTGATTATTTTGTACTATGGGTTTGATTACATCTGATTTCGCGCTATTGTATTGTGGTTTTCTGGATAGTGCATCTGCCAGAAAATTTTTTCCCCTCGGGAGGTATTTTAGAGTAAAATCAAACCGTTTAAAGTACTGAGCCCATCATACTTGTTTTGGGGAGAGTTTCCTTGGGGTCTTTAGGGCTTCTAGATATTTATGATCAGTCCAGACTTCAAAAGGGGTCTTACTGCCTTCTAGGAAGTGTCTCCAGGTTAACAGTGCCCAACGAACTGCATAAGCCTCTTTCTCCCAAATGGCCCAACTTTGCTCAGTCTCATTCAACTTTTTGAATGTGTAAGCGCATGGTTGTAGTTGGTCTTGCTCATTTTTTTGAAGCAGGACTGTTCCTATTGCCACATCGCTGGCATCTGCTTGTATAACAAATGGTATCTCCGTGTCCGGGTGTTTTAGAATTGGTTCTGCCGAGAACAGCTGTTTAAGTTTTTCAAATTCCACCTAGCATTTCATAGTCCAGTTCAATGGCTGCTTCGGTTTAGGGTTGCCCTCCCCCTTCATTTTTAAGAGGTTGGTGATGGGGAGCGCAATCTGAGCGAAAGCAGGAATAAACTGGCGGTAAAAGTTGGCAAAAACCAGGAAGCTTTGTAACTGTTTACGGGTGTGTGGAGGTTCCCAATCAAGTACAGCCTGCACTTTTAGAGGGTCCATTTCTACACCCTGGTGTGAAATGCGATACTCCAAATAGTCAATCTTCTCTTGATGGAATTCACATTTGGAAAGTTTAGCATAAAGTTTGGCAGAGCGGAGTTTGTTTAAAACCACCCTGACCAGTTTTACAGGTTCTGCTTTGGTCTCGGTATAGATTAAATGTTGTCCGCCTTATACAAATGCTGATGTAGCACTTCATTTATTAACTGCATAAACACTGCAGGGGCTCCTTGTAACCCAAAGGGGAACACCTTGAATTGGTAGAACCCGAGGGGGGTGTTAAATGCCATTTTCCACTCGTCCCCCTCCTTAATTCTGACATGGTAGTAAGACTCCCTTAAGTCCAGCTTTGAAAAAAATTTCCCTTTAGCGAGGTGTGCTAGCATATCTTTCATAAGGGGGATGGGGTACTGCACACTAATCGCATTCAGGGTACAAAAATCAACACAGAGACATTTTGAGCCATCTTTCTTTTCTCTAAATAGAACTGCAGCTGCGATTTTTGGTCGGGCTAGCTCAATGAAACTCCTTGCTAGGTTTTTCTCAATAAATGTTCTCAGCTCTTCTAACTCCCTCGGTGACATCCTGTACATCTTGGGTTTAGGGAGTTTAGCCCTGGATAAGATTTCTATTGCACAGTCGTGGTGCGGTGGGGAGGGAGCTTGCCTGAGGCTTTTTCACAAAAAACTTCAGCCAAATCCTTGTATTCTATGGGTATGCCCTCAGTTGGCATGGTGTGACCAAGCATGGCTGTTTCTCGATTCTCTGCCCCCTCAGTTCCTTTATGTGGATTCTCAGCAAAAGTCACGTTCATCTGAAATTTTATGATGCCTTGTTTCCAATTGATTTTGGAGTTCCATTTTTTCAGCCATGCAAGGCCCAGAACTAATGGCCATTCCATGCCAAGTGCCACTGTAAATGTAAGCATTTCCTTGTGGCTTCTGATGCCTATATGTAGAGGCTTGGTGGTAAAAGAAGCTGGCTCCCCACCTGCTATTGACCCATCTAGCTGGCAGAAAGCCATGGGGTTTTCCAGCTTTCTTACGTTAATCCCCAACTTCCCTACTAGGGTTGGGCTGATCAAACAACGGGTGCACCCTGAGTCCACTAGAGTGGAGATATTTATATCCCTGTCCCAGTTTGGGATAAATAGTCTTAAGGGGAGGGTAAGTGGTTTAATTGGTTTGCTTACCAGTGGTTTATCTTTTGGATCGCTTCCGAATGAGTGTGCTTCCTCCTGCTGAGATGCCAGGGTTTCCTCCCCAAAGAGCGGGGGATGGAAATTCTACAGTCTCCCTGCTCCTCAGGGCAGTCTCCTTCCCACGCTGGCCCGGTTCTGCAGGGTTCTCCCCCGGTGGGTGGTTCCGGGTGTTGTTTGCGAACAACACTGCAGCTCAGTGTCCCTCTTTTCCACACTTGAAACAGGTTGAGGATTTTGGGGAGAATGCAGTTTATGGTTTGAGGGGCTCTTGTTTCCATTGGGGTGGGGATTTCTTCCATGCTCGCCCCGCTTGGTACTTTGCCATATTGATCTCAGCTTCTTCAGGGGTGACATATCACTCATGTAGGTGATTCAGTGCACCTCGGGCCATGCAGGCATTGTATAGATCATCACTCAGCCCATCCTTGAAACAACTCACAAAAATATCTTCCGGCCAGTTCATATGACAGGCGAGGTCCCGGAATTCTTCTGTATACTCTGCTACTGGCTGTTGCCCCTGCCTCACCACCTTAATGCAGTCACGTGCTTTGCGATCTGCTAGTGGGTCCTCAAAGCATCATCACAGGGCCATCATGAAACAGCCAATATTCTGCAGTTCTGGTGCATTGGTGTTATGCAGGGTCACCATCCATCTGGCAGCGGCATCCTCTAGGGCTAGGGTCACAACTCACACTCTGGATCCTTGAGTTTGGAAATCACACCCATACTCTTGTATGTAGGTGAGCACGTGTGCCACAAAGAATCCTAACTGCTGCGGATTCCCATCAAACTTCACCCCAAGGGAGGGAGTTTCTCTTTCCAGTTGCGGGACTTGGGGTTGGTTGGGAATGAGTGCCAGTGTGCGTGCTACCTGGGAGGGTGGGTTTGCTGGGTCTTCTCCCACTGCTGCTGCACCATCTGCTCGATAGGCAGGCCCCAGAAGGGGGGTGCCTCCTGTGGCATCATCCATGACTGCTTTTAGTAAATCGAATCCAAGTCTCCCCCTTCTCCCAATTGATTGTCAGTATCACTTTTAGGGATATGACAGTAAGTTTCACTACAGGTAGTCCTCGATTTACAACAGTTCATTTAGTGATCGTTCAAAGTTACAATGGCACTAAAAATGACTTATGACCATTTTTCACACGTATGATCGATACAACATTCCCATGGTCACAGAATCAAAATTCAGACTCTTGACAACTCAGACTCATATTTAGGATGATTGAAATGCCTAAGGGTCATGTGATCCCCTTTTAGGACCTTCTGACAAGCAAAGTAATGGGGAAGCGAGATTCACTTAGTCATGGTACTAACTTAACAACTGCAATGAGTGTCACAAATGTGGCAAGAAAAGTTATAAAATGGGGCAAAACTCACTTAACAAATGTCTTACTTAGCAACAAAATTTTGGATTAAATTGACAACTACCTGTATTAAAGAATCCACACATATCCACATAATGATTAGTATACAAGAGCCTACCAGCTACAACATTTGACTTTCACATTGAAGATTACTGGTTTGAAAATTAACAGGATTATTTAAGAATTTGTATCATGTAATAGCTAATGTACTTAACCAGACATATGGAGACGGATTCCCATCAAACTTCACCCCAAGGGAGGGAGTTTCTCTTTCCAGTTGCAGGACTCAGGGCTGGTTGGGAATGGGCGCCGGTGTGCGTGCTGCCTGGGAGGGAGGGTTTGCTGGGTCTTCTCCCATTACTGCTATGCCATCTGCTCGATAGGCAGGCTCCAGAAGAGGGGTGCCTCCCATGGCATCATCCGCGACTGCTGCCCTTTCAGCAGACTTTGGTTGTTGTTCTTGCTCCCCTCGGATGTTCAGATTTTCCAAAATTTCCATCACCAATTGGGTTATATGCCTCTTTAGATAATCCTCCCTCAGTGGTGCTTTGGTTAGTCCCCCCTGGTCAGCAAGGGCTTCTAGTTCCAGATTCCACCCCGGTTTTCAGTTGCCACAGCTGAGGGTGACTGCTCTGGTTCTCTCATTCCAGCTATCTTTCTTCCCGATGCCAATTGATCAGCAGGGCTTTTGAGGATTCTCCAGGGTTACCTCATCCTTTCCAATGGGATGTATGAAACAGGTATCCGACTGGATGGCGGTTGATGTCTCCCCCCAACATTTGGCTTCTCCCAGTTCTCTGCTTCGTTCAGACATGGTTTGCAAGATCCCCTCAGTAGAGCGAAGATTGCTTCTCTGGGTTGACCGTTTTGCAGATCTTGCTTTCTGTAAAGATTGCCTCTCCTTCCAACTTAAGAAAGTAAAGACTCTTGAAATGTGATTGTTCAAAATGATCCTTTTATTAAGCAGAAGTGAAAGCAACCAAGTTAAAGCAAGATCTTAGGCAAGACAAGTAGGATTAAAGCAGTAGAGGCCCCTCCCTTTAAGTCAGAATGCAGATTTTAGCCAATACACAAGTGTGAAGATGTTTTCTTTACTAGTTTCCCTGAGAACCTGAACAAACATGTATTCACACTGTTATCCTTTAAAGTGAAACAACCCACATGGCTATCATAAACATTCCTCCACGTTAAGAGGATCTCAGGGCTCTTTGGCGTCAGGATATAGGTTGTAAAATATTTGTTGACACAAGCAATACTATAAATCGAATCCAAGCCTCCCCCTTCTCCCAATTGATTGGCAGTATCACTCTTAGGGATCTGACAAAAATCATATAAAGATTCAGGACATGCAGGAAAAGAAACGATTAAGCCACGTTATCAGGAAAACAAAACAAAATGGAAGGTCTGGGTTGTTAAAAAAGACAAACACAAAAGATTGATTATAAAAACAGGCTTAACTAAAGGCAAAACACGAAGATTCAATTATAAAACAGTTTGAAAATACTTAAAACACACATTGAGTCACTAAAACACGCTAGCGTTCACTTCCCTTCCTCCCCACAGAGATTACCCTCAGGATGGAGGAAGGAACAAAAGTGTGAGACAGGATTAAAACCATTAGATAAGAAAAGCAATCACGCACACAAAAGGGAAGCACACAAAAGCCCATAAGACTACCCGAAAATCAACTTCAAGGGGATAGTATAAAAATCATGTACTTACAGTATACTTTTGCTAGCTAGCCCAGGAATGCTGATTCATGCAACCACTTGTCTCACCTTCCTGGAAAATAAAAAGATCTGGCTTTCATGCTTTAGTCTAAATTCTTCCACCGCATCAGTGACATCTTCCCAGCTGGGAAATTTGAACCCAGAGAAGGAAGGTTTTTCCTTACAACAATTGGCAGCCACAAAGGAACACCCGGCCAACCCAGCTACTGGATAAGGCCTGGAGATCAAACCCAGGCAGTATGGACTTTCTTTGTCCAGGAAAATTCAACGGACCCTGCCCGGGAGGTATCAGGTTATAAAGGGAGTCTTTGAGCTTTGCACTCAACAGCTGCCTGAAAGTACCACTTTAAAATTTAAATCCCTAGAATTAAAGTGTGTGTGTGTGTGTGTGTGTGCACGTGCATGTGTGTCTGTGTGTATTGCTTCACCCTGATAGAGATTGGATCACACCTCTCCGATTGACCTCTAGCCACACCTCTACCTGTTGCTAGCTCCTCTGAGCTGTGACTGACAGGACTGGGAAAGCAAGGGGGGGATGCCAGATGTGGGACATTCTGTTCAAAGGGAAAAAGCCAAGTGGGACATGATGGCAGGTATAAGAAAAAGAGGGAAACCCTGTGTAAATTACAGAAAGCAAAACTCTGAACTTTAGAAAATTTTAGGAAACATTAGGAAATTCTAGGATTGCCTGTACTTTTCTGCTGAGGGCAGCAAGTCCTCCCGGATTGTGCTCTTCCAAGTCTGAAAACCATTGGCCTGAAATAGGAGCACCAGTACTTGTCTGCTGGGGGCAGCAAGTCCTCCTGGATTGTTTTTTTTCCCCAATCTGAAAACCGTTGGCCTGAGTTCCCTATGAGGGGAGGGCACATACTCTGTAAGGGAACCAGAGTCTCCACCAGAAGCTTTTTTGTCCTCAAACTGATAGCCTGGTAACCCGGCTACACCAAACTGAATCCCACATCTGAGAGGGAACATGGAAAGCTACCACTCAAGGGTCTTGATAGGAACTCCCCTGGGAGATTTGCTTGAGGCTTGGGATGAACAGCAGATGTCAGTCCTAGCCAATATGAAAAAGAAGAGAGCAAAAAGCATATGTAGGAAATGGGCTTTGTTAAGAGATGAAACGGGGAAACAAATTTGGCCAGAAGACTGTACTCTTAACTTCCAAACCATAAAAGCACTTAGGTCTAAAATCAAACCCAGCCAACTACCCTATTAGTACTGCTGGACTGAGTTGCCCCGATCTAGCGATCTGACAGGGAGAAAGGAACAAGCCACCACAGAGAATCCTTCCCCTCTGGAAAATAAATATGTGGCAAGAGAAAGGACAAGAGGACAACTGGAATGCATCTTAACCCATACACCATTTTCAGCATATGATCTAGTAATTTGGAAAAGGGACATCCCAATTTTTAGGTCTGACCCCCAAATGGTAAGCCAGATTTTAAGTCAATAGTGGATAGCCATAATCCATCTTGGCGGGATATGACCCAGCTCTTACATGTCTTTTTAACAAAAGATGAGCTGCTAAAATTATTTGAAAAAACAGATGAGATAGCCAAATGACCAGTTATACCCACACCAGGACAAACAGCTCCTGCACAAGTTGCCTGGCCTCTAGAACATCCCAATTGGGATTATAATGACACCAACCATTGGGGCACACACACAAAGGAAAATCTATTAGAAGTCTTAGAAGATATAGGAAAAAAGCCTCTAAATTGGCCTGAGTTTCAAAGAACGACTCAGAGAGAGAAACAAAACCCCGATGTATATTGGGTCTGTCTTTCTGAGGCAGCAGTAACATATGCCTCCCTAGATCTGAGCTGCCCAAAAGAATTCTTGCCACCGCTTTTGTCGATCAATCAGGTGGTGTCATCCGAGACCATTTCCAGTGGATCATGTCAAACTGGTCTGCCTTGGAAATATCTGAGTTACGGAGAATAGTGAACTTTGTTTATGATCAAAGAGAGATTCTAAAGGAAAAGGAGCAGGAATGTAAGGAAATGGAAAGTGAGAGGGAAAGAGATAGGAAAAGGGGAGCTGAGAGACAAGAAGAGCTGCAAGTTTTTGCAGCAATACACCATAACGGGCAAGCAACCTGCAAGTCTTTCTTCTCTGTGTGAAGATGCCAGCTGTGTAAGAAGGAAAAAACAGCCCTACCAGGAATGCAGACATTGCCATAAATGAGGGGAGGAGGGCATATATGCTGGTACAGCAGGCAGGAATACCCCCATAATCACTACCAGCCTCTACCCTCTTACCCCAGAAATGATTCTTTCCACTACAGAGATAGAGGGGACATGATGAGATCTCATTGGAAACCCAACAGGGAGAGCAACTCATAAAACATGTGACTAGACAAGGAAGATATAGACTTTAAAGCCACCTTCAGTGGCCTTGCCATTCCCTTGAAGAATGGCCCAGAAGGGGAACCTATGCTCCAAGTCTTAATAGAAGGAAAGCCATACGAATGCCTAATAGACACAGGAGCAACCGCATCACTTATTAACACCACCCCCTTTTAAAGGTGCAGTAACACAGGTGGCTAAGGACAACATAATGGGGGTGGGAGGGGCAGTAATTCCTGTAGAATACACCAATGACCTGAGAGTAGAAATTGCCCCCTTTTCCCTGAGTCATTTATTCACCGTGTGCCCCCAATCTTCCCTAGCCCTTTTGGGGAGGGACTTATTATGCAAACTAGGAGCCAAAATTGCCTGCCACAAATCAGGACTAACTCTAGATATCCCAGCAAAACACTTACAGCTGATGATAATAAACACCAACCAATTACACGAGGATTTAAGGAATTTACCATCCTTTCTATGGGGATGGGATAACACTGAGGTAGGATTATTAAAAGGAGCGACCCCAGTCACAATTCAAGTAAAGAACGGACTGCCTCCTTGTTTTTCCCCAATATAATATCCTAGCCGAGGCAGTTCAACCTTTAAGGAAACTGATAAAGGCTTACCTAGAACAGGGAGTCCTCAGGAAATGTACATCTCCCTGCAATGCCCCCACTTTTCCAGTAAAGAAAACAGAGGTAGACAATGAAGGGAATACCATTTTCAGATTTGTCCATGACTTAAGACTTGTGAACAACCATGTGATCCCTCGCGCCCCTTTGGTGCCAAATCCTGCAACTATAATAACTGAGGTTCCAGCTTCGGCTATGTATTTTACAGTCATAGACCTATGTTCTGTGTTTTTTAGCATCCCGGTAGACCAGGCATCCCAATACCTATTTGCTTTCACTTGGGAAGACCAACAGTATACATGGACCCGCTTGCCACAAGGCTACACTGAGTCCCCCACTTTATTCTCTCAAATTTTAAAAACAGATCTCTCCTCTATCTCCTTACCACACCAATTAATTCTAATCCAATATGTTTATGATTTGCTGCTGGCATCTAACTCTGAGCTAGCATGTAAATTAGAGACCTTACACTTACTTAAAGCCTTGGCAGACAGGGAGCATAAAGTCACCCTTTCAAAATTACAATATCTGCAACAAGGTGTAACATATCTAGGCTACATCATCAGACCAGGAATCAGGAAATTGGCACCCAGCTGAGTACAGACTATCTTAGGCATGAAGCCACCTCAGCCTTAATGGGAGTACTAGGTTTCTGCCGCCCATGGATCTCTTCATTTGGGGAATTAGCCAGACCACTAATACAACTGACAGGAAAAGACATGCCCGACCCCATTGAATGGTCTAAATCACTAGATCAAATGATTCAAACAATAAAACAAACCCTAACATCAGCCCTGGCACTTGGCCTCCCCAACTATAGGAAACCTTTCATTCTGTTCATTCATGAAAAATCAGGCATTGCTTCAGGTGTCCTAACACAACCATTCAGTCCCACACACCAACCAATAGCATATTATTCAGTAACCTTAGATCCAGTGGCTCAGGGGGCAGTTCTGTGCTTAAGAGCAGTAGCAGCCACTGTGGAAATAGTGAAAAGATCTAAGGATTTAGTTCTTGGACAACCTCTAACTTTAAAAGTCCCCCATGAGGTTTTCGTAATCCTTTTAAAATCCCAGACGTAAGCCTTCACTCAGCAGCAATTGGCTCGATACTATTCACATCAGAAAATATCACATTTGACATATGCATCACCTTAAATCTGACCACATTACTTCCATTAGAACAGACCAGCGAAAGCCTCCAAATAGTTCACGACGCTGAATTACCCTGACCTGAACTGACAGATGCCCCGCTGCAAAACCCAACCTAGAACTTTTTACTGACAGCTCTTCTTACATACATGAAGGCAGGACAGTAGCAGGAGCTGTGGTAGTCTCCCTCCATGAGATCATCTGGGCATCCCCCCTCCCTCCAGCGCTCAAGCAGCAGAGCTCATAGAATTAACGAAAGCCTACGAAGCCGTGAGGAACCGGCCTACTAACATATTTACCAGTTCCAGATACGCTTTTGGGGTATGCCATGCAACAGGAGCCTTGTGGAAACAGCGAGGGTTTTTAATGTCAGCTGGACATCAAATCGCACATGCAAAACTAGTAGCCCAATTATTAGAAGCCATTCAACTACCAAAAGCCTTGGCAGTCATTCACTATAGAGCCCATCAAAAGGATGACTCCACAGTAACCAAAGGAAACCAGTATGCAGATGAAACAGCCAAATGGATAGCAACAAAACCTCTGCCTCATAACCTCATGGCACCAGCATTAACAATCAACCCTGAAGTACCTTACAAATAATTTTTGGGCAAGGGAGAGGCTGAACAATGGGAACAAAAGTTAGGGACATTTTTTAAGGAAGGATTTTGGAGGGTCCCAGATGGTAGACCCATAGTCCCATGCCTCCTCCTTAGATTAATTTGCCAGAGGTTACACATTAAAGAAAATTGTGGGACACAAGCTGTGGTAGATGCTATGAAGAGGGTGTGGTATGCACCAGGAGCCTATAGAGAGGCAACAAGGGTAGCAAGCACCTGCAAAACTTGCCAGGCAAATAACAACATCTCCAGAAAATCCATCCATGAAGGAGGGAGACCCTGGGCACA